AGTCCCACAATGAAGGGACTTACGATGTATCACAATTATATACTTATAAAAATTTTAATAAGTGAGATTAAAAATGGAAAACAGGAAAGATACAGCAGATGCACATAAATATATAACAAGGGAGAAGACACTGTGCAAAGCTGCCACAGCTCCCACTTCAGCAGCTGCTCTGTCTCCTAAGACCCTCGCCAACGCCAGAAGCTCGTCTGGTTAATTTTGTATCTGGTAGATATAAACCTCTATTTGGGAGGGTGAATCCTCAATTATCTTGCCTTTTTTGGTTATTAGAGCTTGTTTTGTTTTTGTCTTTGCAGTACTGGGGCTTGAATTCAGGGCCTCATACTAAACCATACCCACCAGTCAATCGATTGATTGATCACCATCAATCTCTTGATTGATCACCAATGATCGATTGATTGTAGGATTTCACTAAGTTGTTCAGCTGGGCCAGAAGCTTCAATCCTCTTAAACCAGCCTCCCAAGTGCTGAGATTACAGGTACATGCCACGGTGCCCAGCTTCAAGCTTTATATTAACTTTAACCATTAGCCGTGGAACTGCTAAAGGATTCTCTAGAATACCCTCTGGATTCCACATAATCCTCCTCATCCTTGGCATGTAGCAATAACTCCATTTTCCTTTGATAGCTGGAGTCAATCACTCCAGCCAGTAGAGTAATTCCTTATTTTGGACCTATAAGTTTAACAATAAAAATCCCACATGAGTAACTGTCAATCCTCTCTTCCAATTCAGAAAGCATTGCTGTGACCCTGGAAGAAGGCATTCCTTCCTCCCTGGGTACTGACTTCAAGTTAGCAAAGATCAGCTTGTCGGGTTCAGGAAGCCAACAGTCTGTGAATGGATTATTAGACATAGTAGGGACAGAACGCACTGCCATTCCCCTTGTTCCTATGCATCTGCCCATGGGGAAACGGCCTCTCTGGTGCTACACCCACAGGAATGTATGTCTCCTAAGTAGGCCATCAGACGGTAGTGGGGGACATTTTAGATCTAAATCATAAATTCTGTACCTGGTCTCCAAAGACTCATCTGTGCCTCATTATGAAAAATGCATCTACTTCATCTCCAAGAGTTTTTTTTGTTTTGTTTTTTGTCTTTTTCATTTTTATCGGTACCGGGGATCGAACTCACAACTGCCTGCTTGCAAGGCAGGCGCTTATGCCGCTGAGCTAAATCCCCAGCCCCATCTCCAAGAGTTCTAAAACTTTCAACATGCCTCAAAAGTCTAAGTCCAAAGTCTCCTCTGCATCCCATGGCAACACTTAGCTGTAAGCCATAAAAATTAAAAACAAGTTACATATTCCAAGACACAATGGCATAGGACAAATATTTCCATTCCAGAAGCCAGGAATAGGGGAATGGAAAGGAGGGACATAAAACAAGCAAGTCTGAAACCCACAGGGCAAACATTAATTCTTGTACAGTAGCTAGCTACATGTCAGGAACCGAGGATGAGTGAGGGGGTCACAGGAGCTCCATCCCCTGTGGCCATGACAGGAGCAGCCCAATTACACCTCTCTTGGGTTGACTTTGCTCACTGCCTTGACCTTCCTTTGACTAACATTTCAATCTGTAACTTCCCCAGTCTCTACTGCAGCTTCAGTATCACTCTTAGTTTCATGTATCACTTTCTTGGGGGCTATTCACAGGGACTCCACCCTGTTACCTGCAGTTGGGCCTCCTAGGACTTCCTAACTCACATTCCGCATGCCTGTAAAACCAGCACCAGGTCTGCTTCTAGTGGAAGCAGGAGCTGAGCTCACTTGAACCTTGGTCACAGAGGCTTCTGAGAGTCGAGCTGGCTAAGCACCGTGAAAGGAATCCTGGTATTATCCTTATCAACAGACTTCCTCGGCAATCCTATGGGAACAGTCCTGCACACCTTTGGTCTTTTTTTAAGGCAGACTCTCAGAGGAGTGTAGTGTAGGCCATGTGTGTATATCAGGGTGTTTTTATGTAATTCAGGCTGGCTTTGAATCTAAACCAGTCCTTCTGCTTCAATCATCTGAGTGCTAGGACTACAGTCTCAGTGCGAGAGTTTACATTTATCCCTTGGGCCTGTGACAGGTGGGGTCCGGCCAAGTCATGACACACCCTTAAAGCATCTTTCCTATTATCCTAGTGCAAAGTATTTGACTTTTTGGGGGTGGAGGGGTGCTGGGGATTGAACTCATCACCCCACATTATCAGGCAGGCACTGTGCTATTAAGCTTTATCCCTGTCCCTGGCTTCTTTTAATGGTGTTTTTTTTGTTTTGTTTTGTTTTGTTTTTTTTGAGAGGTCTTGGCTGGCCTCAAACTCCTAGTGATCCTTTTACTTCAGCCTTCTAAATGTAGGGGCTATAGGAAGCACCAACATACTCAGCAGTTACTAATTTTTTTAGCAACCACATCTTCTTTGCCCTAACTTTACAGGGGTTTCTTTTCTGGCCAAACTGTAATTTCTTAAAATCCTCTCCTGTTTTTGCCCAATTTTCATTACGAATCTGGCTAATGCACCAACAATACCCATGCCACAGCCTGAGTATTGTGCTGTCTCCTAATTAGTCTAGTTCTCCTACTAGACTATTTAGTGTGACACCTTTAAATCTGGCCTTCCGTGAAGGCTCAAGGCATGAACAAAATTTAGAAAAATTATTTGCTAGAAGGTAACATGAACAGCATCTAGTCTAATTCCCAGTATAGCACTTGTTCCCACGTGAAACCTCAAGGTCAGTTCTGACTGTCCACACTCCTATCAGCAATCTGGTCTTCTGGGCTCCTATCAGAATGGTGTGGTAAGCTCCATTTGCAGTATTCCAGGGCTTTTCTGGTCCACATCACCAAACTTTTCCAAACTTCACCAATTCTAAAGACCTCTGAACCATAGCCATGTGTATCACAATTCCACTCCTCGTATCAGCTTTCTGATGGCTGCACATCAGGCAAATGTGAAAGTCCTCTCAACTCACTGACACAGCAAGCAACATTGATAAGACAAGAATAACAGAAATACCTGCCTGTGTTTGGAAAAAATAAATTTTAATTACCAGTTTCTAGGTTATGCCTTCATTTGTATCAATCCCATTATTCTATGGTCCACAGAGTTAAATTAGACAAAGTATTTTATAGTTTTTTATAGTTATTTTATAGTATTTTATAGTTTTTCCAAAACAGTAAATTTCTTGCACCAAAAGGAAACAAAAAAAGCCTGGTTCCCACCTGGGTATAATGTCCATGGACTGAAAGCAAGCACAAGTACAGAGAGCAGGCAGCAGCAGAATCACAGTGCTGCACATCACTTCATCTGTGCTAAGTGCTCCTGGGTTTGAAATGTAGCAAGGAAATAATGAGGCTGATGCTACACAGCAAAAGCTGGACACTGACCTCATCATTTCATAGCGGTACCTGGTGGCATATTTTTAAAGTATTTTTTTCACAAGTTGCAACATTATCTGTTACAATGGGATTTTGGTAAAATCAAATGAAAAGGGTTCTATGTTCATGCAACATTTGTTGTAAACATTCCAGAAACACATGAGTAAAAATTTCAAATGATTCCCACAGTAACTGTAACTCTACAACATACATAATGGGAGAAATGCTATCAACATACACTGTTGGAGAAAATATCCAGTAAGCAGAAACAACCTGAGTTATGCTTGTTGTGGGAGTCATCACTTACAACTAGCTGAGAATACGTTAGGAATGGAAACCATAAATGCATGCGTTATTTTTTCACTTAATTCTAATTTTTCTGATCCAATTCAATCAGTTTCGCATCTAAACTCCATTTTTCTTTCATAAACTGCAAATATCTGTCTTTTGTAATTTTGAAATCCACATCATTTAGTTTCTTTCTCTCCCCCAGGCTGCCTTTGCAGACGGCATCATTATAACCCGGCCCTCCCTGCAATTTCAGAAGTGTCTGCCGGGATCCACTTATCTACGTCCCTTTTCTCCCCGAAGGGCACTAGGAGGAGGAGAAAAAGAACACCACAAGAAGGAGCATCACGCTGAACAGTTTAAAAAGGTAAGTAAGTGCAGCAGAGAGCAACACCATCACCACTACCTACCTTCCCCTTGGGATTTTCCTGGGCAGAAATAAGAACAATGTCACCATATATTTACAATTTCCAAAATGTTTAGTTGTAACATTATGCCATTTCATTCTTACCCTAGCACTGTGAGAAAACAAAAAAAGAAAATACTTTTTCATAGTTCAGGCCCTTGAGACCAAGTCAAATATATTTAAGAATGTGCTTTCATGTTATCACTGAAAGTCTGGGCCATTTAATTGTAGTTAAAGATTTTCTAAATATATTCATTTATTCATGGAGGAGATTTATTATTGAGGGCAGAATATACTTCCTGTAAAAAAAATTATGGTTCTGAGCTAAACTTTGACATATTTTGAGCTTTTTGCTGTAACTATATTCTGAAAATTCAATAGTGAAAGAGAAAAAATAATTGCCCTTTGAAATTCTGCTTAGGCAAAATTAATCCTGTATATTATATCCAGTATTACTTTTCCCAGTTTGGTTTTAACTAAGAAGGGCACCTTCTACAACCTCAGAAGAAGAATCTTTTTACTTTCCAGTGCTCTTCACTGTCAGGGTATGTTTCATTATATTCAAACTAAATTATTTTGGCTCAGGAACAATCATAATTCCTCTGCCACTCTAAATAGCTCCACCCCACCATCGTGTTCACAACCCTGTGCAAGTACCCGCAGAGAGAAAGGATCAAACGTCGGCATCTCTGAGCACTGCCATATAAGACATCACAAATTTTCTTTCCCCTCTTTCCTGTGTAGTAGATAAAATTTTCCTTCTTCATTTACATTGTCCACCAGTAGAAAAATCAATTAAAATACCCAGATCTGGCCCAAATTCTAAAAAAAAAATCATTTAACTGGAGAGAAAACACAAGTCAACCTGTGAAAGTATACAATTGTGCATGTAACCAAAGAACAATGTTTTAAATGACAAAGGTAAACAAATTCCTAAGAAATATTAACTTTTATTGTAAAAAGTAAATTTCTCGATGGTACCTGCAATTATAAAACAGCTCTTTGCAATGAAAAAAGATGAAGACGCATGTTTTGGGTAAATATAAGATGTCTTCTGAGACATCAATACTGAATTTGCAGGTATTTCCCTAGTTTAAACAGAAATGTCTGAAAAGCAACAATACTTGGATTGATCACTAAGCACAACCTCAATGCTATTTCCAGTCATGAGAAAGATGTGAAGATGGCTGACTAAAAGATAAGTGACAGGGATGCAAGCTCTTGCACGTCACCGAAGAGCAGGAGCACGCTTCCTGCGTCTATCATACCTCGGTCAGACCCAGAGCAGTACCACACAGGCCATCCACGGTATGGGGCTGTTCTCAGAGAAAGTACAGGGCCAGCCCGGGGGCACAATGAGCCTTAAACAGAATTAATACAGCCCTTATCAGTTCTCTCGTTCAAGGTGGAAATTGAAGGGGAAGTAATCAATTCTAGTGGGTCACAAGATGCTCAGAAATAAAAAATAACACTCTGAGTTTCTTTAAGTAGTCAATACCAGTAATTCTCAAAGACCTGACACTGCAGATAAACTGAAAGCAAATAGGGTTCTTAAAACTGTCAGTATTAAGAAACAATTTTGTACCTTTATCTAAAGTTGCAGAATTCCATGGGTGACTGACAGAAATATAAAAATACATTAGAGAATGAACCAAAAGAAAACACTGAAAACAAAGTACATGGTCAAACAACAGAAGACTATCAGACAAATTATTATGCATTCATACAATGGATATTCCGCAGTCTTTTATATCGTACTGAAAAATATCCACAAAGAGGGAAAATACAAAATGATAATACAAAATGAAAAGAAACATTCTATTCTGGATGATCTCCATTTTGAGGAAAATCTGTACATACAAATATTGGGAGGACACACACAAATTTATTAACAGAAGTTACCTCTGTCAGTGGGAAATTAATATCTCCGTGAATTTTCTTTTGCAAATGAAGAGGATAAAGGGAAGCTGCTGTTTTCAAAAATAAGCCATCACTATATTCAGTTTCTGTATTCTATTTTTTTGTAACACACAAAATGAAAACCTGAAATATATTTAGTGCCCAATAAGCACTTGCATTAACAATGACTTTTATTTATGTTATAAATACAATAGTTTGTTAAAATTTCACTTCCTTATACTTTTTGCCAATTTACAAAAGAGTAATGTATTTGTAAAAACACATAACAAATTTCTGTCCAAAGTTCACATCTTCCATGCATTCTTCTTCAGACATCCTTGAGTCTAAAAGATGAACTTCATGTGCTTGATTCCATATGTTTTAAAGAACACCATGATAATGAGTGCCCACAGTCCGAGAATAAAGCCCCCTGGAGGGTGCCAATCCTTCAGCTTTGGTTTCTGCAAAACAAGAAAACACGGTCCATTTAACAACAGGCAAATAATTCAGCAATGGATAGGCAAATACTGATGGAAAAGAGAAATTTCACTGGTTGTGTTCTAAGGAGGAGTAAATTTAGCCAAATTAAATGGAATAGCAATGATAAAGACTCAAATGGTAAATGTCCCAAAGGTAAGCTGCTCCTACTGATCAGCGTTAGCTCACATTCCTTGGGCAGTGGTTGCCTGCCCAAGCCAACCGTCTCTTCACCCAAGTTATTCTGCAGTCTAATAGTCCTTCTCATTCGGCATTCATATATTCATGAGTTTTCCCATGTCCACCTGTCTATTAAACTACAGTTCTCGCAGGGTCATCTTGTTCTGTTCCCAGCACGGGCCTGCCAGGGTACCCACCACCTGGAGGTGGTCATTACCCTGAAATGGTCACTGAAGAACAAAGCTGCCCAGCTCCAGTCATGCACTCGCACGTTCCGCCATCAGTTGGGTGGGAGCCAGTGCCTTTGGTCCTTGTCTCTTCTCCCTTGACACAGAATTCTCCATGCCCCTTTGTGCCTTCAAAACTTACTCACTTGAATGATGCCAATTCCTCCAGATTCTTTCAGCTGAAATATATTTTCCTGGACTCCTTTAACTCTTATCTCCATGACACTTGCTAACGTCAAAGTCCATCTGAGTCCAATTTTACACACTCATTTTTAGTACTATCCATGGATCTTGCATGTTTCTCTGTCGAGCAAAGACCAGTCCTTCCTAGTTAAGCCGTCACTATGGCCCTGCAGCTGGAGGCTTGTGACCACAACTGCTTTATGAATCTACTTACTAAATTATTAGCTGAGGTGGTAATGCTTATGGTATAGGAGTCAGACTTCATCAATTCAGAATTAACTTGTCAAACTAAAAGGAGAAAATTTTTAATTTGGATTCTAATGTCAGTTTTACGGATTTTTAATCAAATGCATACTATGAACTGAACCAATAATCCTGTGTCTGTTGCATGCCATCTTCATTCCTCTGTGTTCACCTTCTGCCATGCCTCATAGAGAACGTCCCTGTCATGGTTTATGTTGGTGGCCCCCAAACCTCATGCCTTTGTATTATGCATCTCTGACTGGTTCATAGTCTAGCGCTTGAATTGGGGGTATGAGTGCTACCACCTAGGGGTGGAGCCAGGATGTGATATAACGGCAGGAAGAAGATGTGTCTCACTGTCTTGCCAGTTTCTGCCTTGCTGTTTGCAGCCACCATGAACTGCGGGCCCTGCCATGCCATCCTGTCTTGGAGCCAACTGAGTATGGACTGAAACCTCCTGTAGAAATAAACCTTTCCTCTCCCGACTTTGGGCATCAGTTATTTTGTCTCAGCGATGAGTAAAAACTAACCCAGACAGCCCTAAAACACTAAACTCCACTTTCCTCATGCTTCTTTCCAGTGAAAAATCTGCAGTCTTCTGGTCATGTGATGAGGATGATGACAGAAGTCCCTGCCCTCTAGTGCCTTACAAAATGCTAAGTGCAACATTCTCACAGCACTCAGAGATCCTGGATGTCACAGAGCTCTTAGCGCAAAACTGTGGCAAATCTTAAATTAACACAAGGCACAGTTACATGAGGGAATGTAAATATAACATATTTACATTAACAAAGACAAAATAAGCACACAAACGAGACATGGCTAGTACTCAGGTTTTTTCTTGTCTGTTCTCTATAAGTCAAACAACCGGTAAGTGAAAAAGTTGAAAAAGACAAAATTGCTTTCACATGACAGAAGCAGCTCACCCCCAAGCATGTTTGTAGAAGCAGTGCACCTTTACATGCTGGCCTGCAACACTGCCAGGGGTTCAGTTTCAGAGCACAACCTGGTTAGGGCGATGAGTTCTGATTTCCCCTAACTGGGAGTCTGACTTACATGGGATTGAAAATGCACACACACACTCTAAAATAGTAAAATTAATTAAATACTGTCAAAATGCATTCAGGTAAACTCTTCACTGAGAACAGGCTATAGACATTTTTTTCTAAAAACCAAATTAATGAGGTTCAGGGCTAAAAGAGTTCAGGAAGTATTTAAATCAAGTCATGTTTAAAGAAAAGGGTGACTGTTATTTAAGCTCAATCAGGAGATTATAGAACTATTAATCAAGTAGTGAATAGCAAATTGTACTTCTGCAGCTGCAGAAATTTTAGTTACTTTCCAAAGAGATGGATTCCCTGAGGTTGTAATTTTACTGTTAGATCTTAAACTAGCAACCCGAAAACGCCTGCCAGAGAAAAGACAATGAAAGGAAAAACAGCACCTTTGGAAGAAACGATCGTCCCTCCAAAGAATCAACAGTCATCCCTGAGATCTGACATGGCCAGCTGGCTTGGAGACCTGGGCAGGCTCCTGCTGTCCTGACCTCCTTGCCAGTCATGCATCTCCCATTCAGACTGCCGATGCCCAGGAGAGGACCAGAGAGAAAAGCAAACTGCTCGAGCTGTGGTTTCCCAAGAGCAGACTTCGACAGCAATGATGGAGGACTAGGAAATACATATAATTATAAAAATTATGATAGAATGGTGCATTTATTCACATTGTAACAATATTGCACAAGCTAGAGGCAGCAGATCTTAGCAATTCAAAAACTATTTTCAGCTGCTACAATTCTGTTGTATATTCATTACATCCCTTTGGTTAATAAAAATGGAAAATGCATTAATTAAATGTACTCTGGGCTCAGTTTAAGAAGGCATCTGAACAGAATCCCTCATTGCAGTCTCTCCACATTTCTCATAATCCATAAAAAAGCTCAGAAAAAAACAACAGCATACCCCACCAAAATTAAGTTCCCCTCTGATGAGAAGTCTCAGATAATGTCACTATCTCTAAGTCCTAGAAACAAGGTCCAAAACCAAGTTTAAGGTGGGTCAAGTTTTTCAATTGTTGCACATCATCCAAATGACTGCTTTACTCCGGAAATGCAATTAATTCTACTTCTGAGAAAGAGACTAACTTGGTCCCTTTTTCTGCCTGCTGTTTAGCAGACATAACAGCACTTAAATAGGAGAAGGACAGGTTTAGGAGGCAGTGAGAGTGGTATGACTCATTCCAACCTCTCGGTGGCACCCTTCTCCATGCTCCCATTTTATTATCACCCCAGTAAATGACACTACAGAGGCAGGGGCCCTTAAGAGGGTTCACCACCTCTTAGCAGACATGATGTCTACATGTAAAGCTCTACAGAGAGGAGAAAACACAGGGACAACTTTATAGGTAGTGCACGTTAAGAAATACAGTTTCCCATGTGTCACCATTTTTAAAGTGCCCTCAAATAAGGGATAAGAGGGAAGGTAGCACATAATTAGTTCAGCAAAGCCACATATGATGGCTGCCTGCCAAGCACTGGGACAGCAGGCCAACCTACCTGATGCAGGATAGGACAGACAATCGTAACTAAGCAGACAGTGAGATGCACCCACATGCCCTACTGGCAAATACCGAGAGCATCCAAAAAAAAAGCAGAATCCAAAATAAACTCCATGAGGAAAAATACCCCCATATATGAAGAAATTATAACCTGACATTGGAGAGAAGATATATCTGAACAAAATGTAATAAGTCACCAAAACAGAATTTTAAAAAACTTTTTGGGGGGCATGGATTCAAATAATGATATACAAGTAACCAAAAATTAAAAAATAATATAAAGAGGAAAAGAATACAAGATACACAGCCACAGGCTGAGGTAAAAAGGAGGCTGGGATAGCGCGGTGCTCTGAACACAGCTCTGAGTCTCTCCCTCCTTCAGCTGTGTCAGGGTGCTGCAAACACGGCCCGAGTTCTCCGTCCTCCTGGGGTCCTCATGCCACGTGGCTCTGCAGCAGCTAACATCGAGAGGTGAAGTGCGCGTCCCTAACCCTGCATCAGCTGGTCTAGTAGTTCCTTTGCCACCAGAATGCAAGCCAAGTACCAGCACGGTTTTAGGTGCTTGCCTCTGCCACCAGTGTGACATCAAGCCCAGGCTTCTAGAGAAAGAGGCATCTTGTGGACAAAAACCAAGGTCCTCCTCGCTAAATTCAGCCTACACTGCTGACCTACAGAATTATGAGCTAAATAAATCAATGCTTGAAGTTTTGCAGTCATTTGTTATACATCAAAAGCTTTGAAACAGATCCACTAAAGTGGCAATTAACATGGAAGAGATAAACCTTGATTCTTAAAATCATAATATAATGCACAGTGTTCCTATCTACATACTGTAGCTTCAGATTTTTGCAACCATGGTATAAATAAGAGCAGGGATAGGCAGCTCACTAGTCGATGCCTTGTCTGTTATGGACTTTGTGGGGATGTGGAGGTTTCCCAGGATAATCCCCTTTGACCTTCCAAGGGTAAAAAAACTCACCTTGTTACCAAGAGCTAAAGTAAAGCAAGACCTTCCACAGCCCACAGCCACTGTCTCACGCAAGCACGTTTACCACGGGGGGCCTCTGGAGTCACCCAGACACAAGCCTACTGCACTGCACTGTCTTCCAGCGGTGACTGCACGAACGTTCACTATTGTCCTCCTCACTGAAGGCTCTCTCTCATGCTGCTCACCACCAGCTCTTCCTTACTGCTTCCTGGAGAGAGATCCCAGCTGCCACCAGGCCCACAACGCTTCTCAAGAAATGAAGTAGGGAAGCAGGCAAATTTGGAGACTTCAAGTCACCCAGCTTCTCTGTAGCTTCTCTCCTAATCCCAACTATGGTCCACATCTGAAGTCTGATTGCCTTGTTTTTAGGGTTTTGTTTGTTTTAGGTGCTGAGGACCGAACTCAGGGCCTCAGAGTGATACTGTAGATTAGTACAACCACTAGGGAAATCAGTATGAGGTCCCCCCACCCCTTTAAAATAATAATAGAGCTACTGTTTGCTCCAGCTATACCACTCTTTGGTATACCTTAAGGACTTAGAGTCAGCATTCTACAGGAATACCTTACATACACCCATGTCTACTGCAGCACAATTCACAGTAGCCATGGTACGAAACCAGCCTAGGTGCTCATTAACTGATGTATGGACAAATAAAATGTGGGTATATGAAATTTTGTTATTTACCAAAAAGTAGATGGAACTAGAAATCATCACATTAAGAAAAATAAGCCAAACTCAAAAGGCCAAGCTTGGAATACTCTCTCCCTAATATGTGCAATTGAAAAAGATGACATGAAAGTAGAAGGGAGGCCGTCACCAGACAAGAGGAAGGAATTGGTGGAGGGTGGCTGAAAGGCTACTGGAGGAATGGATACGGTCAAATACATACATTAAAACCCAATGTTAAATGAGAATATGTAATCCATTAACTAGTGATTTCTTACTGTTTGTTTTTTAAATTTTGTATTACTTGTACCCTTTCTGTTTTTTTTTCTCCTTAAAAAGAAAAAAATCCAATGTTTTATAAAACTCATAAGGACTAAAAATGAAAAAGATTCACTAATAAATATAAAACAAGTTTTAACAAAATAAGTAAAGTCTGGTTAGTTTCAGTTTAAAGTTACCAATTAGTGGCGATCAGCTGTACCCTGTGCTGGACAAACAGCCACCTTGCAAGATCTTTATGCACTTAACCTATGATAAATTCCCACAGCAGTTCATGCAATCTTAGAAAATTAAGGGTGATTTGTTTTCAATCATGATTTGGTTTTTGAATAAAGTTAATTGTAATTTTTCTTTACCTATGATTTTAGCTTGTGACAAAAAATAATACCCACTATTAATATTATCAGCCAATGCTACTGTGGAATTTTTGGTCAATCCAGGCATAACTCTTGGAAAGAAAAAATAAATTTTCATTATTTTCATGTATTATAATTTTATTGTATCAACAAACTCTATAAACTTTATAAAATTAACTAATGATTATTGAGAATAAAGACCTCAAATTTGAGGTAAATATTTTAAAAACAATATCCTTTATGCTTGCAAAAGTATCTGAAAATGAAAAAAAATCATTCACAACATCAATAGAAACATAAAACAACTAGGCATACCTATAGCATGAAACATCAGGTAAACAATCTTTTAAACAGTAAGCAATGAAGAATTACACAAATGCTAAGGTTAAAAAATAATTTGGTTTTGAGGCAAGAAGAGAAAGATGAATAAAACAGAATAGAATAAAAAGCAGGTATACATTCCAGTGGGTACATATATAACTTACATATTTAAAAGAGCTATCACAAATCAATGGGCAAAAGGCTATTTTGTTTTATTTCCTACTCAATACTATAAAAACCAAAATATACTTTACATAGTTTATAATTAAATGTGAATATAGATGAAAGGGACAAAATATCAGAGAATGTACAAAATAAAGAGATTTATAACCTAAACTCAATAAATATAAATAAGAAAGAAAAAGTAGGGAAGTTTTTAAAATAAAGTTTGAAAGTTCTGTATTGAACAAAAAATATAAATCAAATTAAAAGACAAATAAAAGGGAAAATGTAACAGAAAAGGAGCTAAGTTCAGTAGACAAAGACTTTCCAAAATCAATAAGCAAGGTTTTTATCAATAAATGGAACAGGGAAATAAAATTTTCACAATACATAAAAATTATTATATATGGCTAATTCAAATTTTAAAGTTTTAATATTCATAATCATAACTACATTAAATATTTCTCCTTTTTAAAATTGAAGTAGTAAATCAGGGTGAGTGATGTTTCAGGAAAGTAATATATGAACAGGTTCAAAGATCTTTAAAAGGTCCATTTCTTCTCACTCCTAGGATCAGCTACAGCCCTAAGAGCTACAGGACAGAACCTGGAAATGCTGACAAAGGTCTGCACAGAGATTTTTGTCTCAGTGTTATCTACATAATAAAAAAGAAATTATATCTAAACAATAATACAGAAAATACTATGCAGTCATATATTAAACATTCCTCAGGCGATTTCACACAATTTTAACAATTTGAAGAAATGCTTATCCTACAAAATAAGGAAAAAATAAAATGCAAATTGAACATGAAATATGATCCATATTTCTCTAAAATATTTAAAGGGAAATATATGCAACTTAGGAGTGTTTCTCTGGAGAAGTGGAGTATAGGTGGATTTTAATCTCTTTATATTTACCGACACTTTATAAAACTATACACATACAATGGTAAGCATTTCTTTAATTATTTTGGGGGGGAAAAGATTATGCAGGAAAACTTTCATTAAAAATCTACCTAGACGAATCTTCTCATGCTCTTTTCTAAGCTGGGAGGTTTATGGCAGATAGCACTTTCAGCATTTGATAGCTACTTTAACAAAAGGTAACATGAATAGCATGACAGCACCATAGTAAAATGCTTTTTCAGAATATGTTTAATGATATTGCTGCCATTTAACAATATTGCTATTTTAAAAACAACTACATGTAACACTTTAGACATTCTACAATGATTTTACTTACAATCAAGTGACAGACTGGTATAATTATTGCATTTTGCACTACAGCTATATTTGAGGTAAGTTCATATTAAAGTATATGCTGTAATTTCATTTGTAT